CTTTCAATTCATTTTGAGCCAGTAACTTGACTGAATGTTTAAGATATCCACATAAACAAGATATATTGTTAGTACCCGTTTGAAGATCAGCTACCCAAAGACAAGAAATTGATTTGATGATAACGATTACCAAATACATCCTTTGTTTGACTAACTGTACACAAGAAATCTTACGGAATTACTGAAGTTTCGCTAGTTTCTCGATTTCTGAATCTCCTCGCCATATCCGGAAGAAAGTTTCATGGGTATGTTTAACGCTATCGACCCTGTTTCTTTGCAGTGACTTTCTTATTTGATTTTGTAACCTTATGTGCTAATTTCTTAGCGTTCTTCTTCGTTTTCGCGGCCTCAGGTGAGTATTTCTCGAGCATTTTCTGAACTTTTGACTTGATACAGTTTCCTTTTGGCGAAAGGAACCACAGTCCGTTGAGTGCCTGTCGACCAATTTTGTTCGCCACTCCCACGTAGTAGTTATTGTTCACGATGTAGGGCTTCATGTCACGGCGTTGAGCATCAGCCAGCTTGAACCACTTTCCGTCGGCGATTTCCTCCCATTCGAATTGACGACAAACAACGCCAAAATATTGACTGCCACAGAGGTCCTCAAGAACATCCTGAAAATGTTACTGATTATCCAGGAAAAAAATTATGCGAAACCGTCACATTTACGTCAAGGATTCAGATTCGTAAAGTTAAAGATGAAGTCATTTTGAGGTTCATTCGTGGTCAACAGAAAGATAAAAGACCAGATATTTTCTTCGCATTGGAATTCGCGTTTGAAAATCTTTTCATTTTAAATTATCGCCTTTCTTTTTACTGACTTACTTGATCAAAAAGTTTCGGATCATCAAGAAGTCGCCGTTTCATTTCCATTAGCATACTCCTGGAACCGTTTGTGGGATATACAATCATCGGGTCGAACGTATACTTTTGGCCTTTGTAGTCATATCCTGAAATTTGAGAATTCAAATCTAAATTCCAACAAGATCGAGCGGATGGATTGTATTAAGTAAAGGATTGGCCACTCACTTTGATGAATTGCCTGTATTTAGTGTCCCTAGAATGCAGGAATCGGTGGCGTTGATCGCAAATAATTGGTTAGAAATGCTCACAAATAATTAATCATAAGAAGGATATCATCTGAACGGCAAGACGGAACCGAGAATAGTAATGTATAAAGATAATATACACTGAAACGTGAATACCTTTTTTTGGAACTATGATATCGGCATCATCGATTATTGTCCGGTTTCCGAAGTATTGCATTGGATCGCGTAACCACGATGAGTCTGTTTCGAACAAAATATATGGAATATCCAGCTAAAATGATAATTGTCTGATTCACTCATAACCTGCTATCATCTGATCTGAGATGAGGATAACAAAAGTCAACTCCTACACAGACGTAATTAATATTGTACACTTTAATTCTACTCTGTTTGTGATAGCATTAGCTGTAGCCATACTGGTATTAAAATTTTATCCCAGAAAAGTTCCACAGTCGATTGGGCGATTTCTAAAGCAAATGGAAAATGGAACCATCAAGCAGTGTCTGTCTGGACCGTTTGTGGAAAAGTACGAAAAGCAGAAAAAATTAGAGTATTTTGTGGTTGGTGCCATTACATCTACAGGTCGGTCGCTTAAAGTGATCATCATGAAGTCATTCACTATAGCAGCTCTAATATTGGTTAAGAATGAGTGCATTGACAGAATCGGCAATTTAGCAAGGAACTCACCGACACCAGATTAACCATCAATTCACTTCTAAGTGTCAACAAGTTGATATAGCTTTGACGACCCCAATTCAGCGCTTCATTGTAACCCTCCGGCACTTCAAATGAGACGCATCTAACTTTTGGCCATTCTTTCGTGATTTTACGACAACTCTGCCGATCCATACTAACGATGAGCGTTTTTGCGTGAATATTCGATTGGAAAGGAGCGACGTTACACAACCAATTCAGAGTGAGATTCAAATAAGCACGATTGATCATGGTGAATAGCAAAAATTCATCAGTTTCCAAATGGATCACTTTAGCGAAACGTTCGAATTTCTGAAAATTTAGTTTTGGTCGATTCCAGTTCTTTGATGATATTCTTAAGGTATCTGTAATATAATCAGAAGCCCAATAAACAATTGGAGCAATAAACTGAATTGAATTGCTCTATGTATTACTGAATCAAACAAGATTTACAATGGAAGTTTATCGTGAAATCGTGAGAGTTTTCTGTGAAGTATTTTTAGGGGTATTTGTTTCTAACAATGAGTATCAACTGAACAATCAGACCGAATGGAAGTATGAGAATATTTTTATAGAAGCAACCTTAATAAAGGATTCCGGAATCTCAGGTAATTGATACGTTTTATTCTCCGGTGGATGCATTACCAAATCTTCAGCGCGTGACAACAGTGGTTTTGCATCGAGTAAAAAGATAGAACTGCAAAAATTCATTGTGATCTTCAAAGGTAATTAGATCTTACTGACAATTTCGATACAATCTACTGACAATTTTACTGATAACTTGGATTTCGTGAACAACACCACGATTAACACGTGTATGTTGTCATAATTTGCATGAAGTATTCAAATCAAATGCTCCAAAACTGTTGCAAATGAAAACAAAATTACGAGGAGATAATGACACAAAACAATGAGATTGAAAATTTGCTGAAGCACTAACGATAACACTTTGCCTTTGCGATCAGCCAGATCTTTCATCACTAGCGGTCCATCGGATTCTTTCTTTGTCGGTATTTCAGTACGATCGATCACTCGCCGATTGTCGACTATATTAACGATCAAATGAATTGTAAAATAACAGAGCATGCCGAGCACCAATCGTCTGCCCCATTTCACATTCATTCGTTGAGAGCCGAAGCTAGCCTGCGATCAAAAAAAACTTGTTCTAACAGTGCTAAGTAAATGCAACGATATGAGTAATAATGACAATTGTGCGATTGATATTAACGGTAAACGCAATGATATGGCTAATGATGAAAACATATTGATAAAAATGATTATGATAAGGATGACAAAACAACAGTGAATATGATACGGACACGAGAATGATAATTATGATTATGCAATGAAAGCAAAACGAGATTTCACGATCTCTGAACTGAAATATACCCAAGCAACACCGAACTCAACTCCAACACTCCATTCGACAGCATATCAGTCAAGTATATCACTTGAACAGTCATAATGAGGACGATGAAATTGCTTGCGAAAACCAGTTTCAGTTACTTTTGATCGCAAGATACGAGAGAATATTTCCTCAAAAAGTTGTGTTTTTCTCAATTCTCACTTCATCTTAGTAGTGATTCATTGGAAAATGACTGACTTTGTACAGACATTTTCGCAGGCGATAATATGAGTAAATGGCACAGCGATTGGGGAACTCAATGAACACTTTGAAGACGTTATCGTTTGAGTGAATGTTGTGTGCGATGTTGAGAGGTTAGAGTAGAAAAGTTTTGATTACAGCAAAAACAAACGGCCAAAAATTATTTGAACTATGTAATAGTGAGACGAGGCACTAGTTTTTCATATTGTTTATTGTTTTCAATGCGATCAATTGTTGGAAGAACGATGAAAACTTCTCTCAACTGTCAATAGTGTGAAGACGTTACATTGATGTAAACTGAAGCAACTCGATTGTATCAGCAAAAAGCGTTGGTGCACTTTTCTAACTTTGCCTAAGAGCACTAATGATTTGTCTTCGGATCCTTTCTCCTCAATTCATTCGTAAACGATTAGGAGAACAATGACCCTGATACTTCTTGAATATTTCTGCATAATTGCAACATGAAATTTCTCAGCGATCATTCAACAACAACAACAGCAGCACGAATTGTTTTCATGTGATCTTATTTATGTGATTTATGTGATCATATGTTTGTGATTCGTCGTCAGGTGTGCGAATTTTCATTGTGACTTATGTGAGGAATCGTATTGATGAAACGAGAGTATCAACAATGACACTATTAATATTCCGAGAGAACATCTTCGTGTGTGAAATTTCTTTGTGTGAAATGGCGATGATTCTGGTATCTTTGAATTTCTTCCGTGAAAAAGACTCGAACTCATGAAGTACAATAGTAAATTATACTTCATGAGTTTGAGTCTCTTTCACGGGGGGAATTTTTTCGATAAATTGAATGGCTTACCAATACTATTGATGTTTTTGAATATGAGCTAGCGGTTCGAATTTCATTGTCCTTCGTATGATTAAGAATGTGAGCAGTGAATGGACAGCAAAAATAGACAGTTCAATTATTCGTTGAGGAAATCAGGAAATGAA